GCTCAGACGCCATTTTCCCTTGAACTCAGGCAGCTTCTAGTTTCTGTGCTTTTGAGACTGAAGCTCTAGTTAGCAGCCCCTACCCCCTAAGTTCTCATGTTTCTCAAGAGTTGGACTGGGAGCGACACCATCTGCTCCCTTGTCCCTAAGGCCATGAGACGCTAACAGAATTACACTGATGGATTCCTTGGTTCTGAGCTTGCAGACAGCAGATGGCAGGACGTCTTAGCCTCCATAATCACACAGGCCAATTACCATCATAACATCTTCTCATGTGCATACAATGCTTGGGACCTGGGCTGCTGAAGTGTAACAGTTATCTCCATGAAATGAAGTTCAGAGACCTTAAGTATGTGTCAGGGTTCTAGTTACCATTATATTCAGGGAGGCAATGTAGAAGAATATCTGAGATCAGGAGCTTTGGTGTTGAACTGTCTCAGCTCAACAAATACTAGTATGAACTAGTAGTACAGTGAACTCCTAGCTCGTTACCAAGTACCAGCTGCGATTTTGGTCACGTTTCTTGACCTCTCCGTGCCTCTGTTTCACTTTTGTCAGCATGCCGATGATGGGACCAACTTCCAGAGTCATCATATGGAATAAAGAATTAGCATAATAAAATATATGTATAGAATAAGAATAGTGCTTGGCACCTGATGAGCTCCAATCTTACCAGTATGCCTTTTGCCATTATAAGTTCTAGAAACCCAACTCAAATTCAAACAAGAAAAGATAGGAATATATGAGCTTACCTTTAAAGAAAATGTCATTAGAATTGTCTTTTTTTACACCTTGGTGTAGCTCCATTTATAAATGGATGCTCACCTAGAAAGAAGTTGTGCTCTGAATTTGCAGGCTGGAGCAGGGGCATCTCCCCCCAAACTCCAGTTACCAGCTTAGTGTAACTGGCTTGGGTCTTGTTCCCAATACTTGGGCTTTTGGGGAGGTGAGAATGGAGAACAGAATCCACCTACCCATCATATGGACTAGCTGAATTACATTGAGAGGAGGAGAGGATGTTGCCTAATAGAAAAAAGCTAGACACACAAAAAAGAAGTAGCATGCAAAATGAAGGAAGAAATTCAGACTGAGAATCCTTCGCCATGGCCTTTTATCCTCCTCATCATCCTCATAAGGCAATTTTTTATGATATTCTTGTTCCTGCTGTTGTTGTGTAAGACAGGTTTTAATCTTAGTTCAGGTTTTAATCTTGTTTCCCTTTTGGCTCTTAACCTTTGAACTCACTATGTATTCCAGGCTCACCTCAAATTCACAATCTCCAACCTCAATATTCCAAGTGCTGGGACGATACCCAAGCATCACCACACCCAGCTCATAGGGCTTCTTTTAAACTTTTTTACTTTGGAAAAATGTTCAGCAACTGAGTGATATTTCACCGACAGGCTACCACCCAAGTGCCTAAGCACAACAGAAAGAAAACGTCCTCAACTATGTTTTGAGAAAACAAAGAAAACAAAACAAAAGCAAAGAGCTTCTTGAAATTTAGGTGCAATTCCTAGCTTCTGAAAAACATGGGAGGTTTTGCAGATGCTGAGTGCTCCAAGGAGAGAATAAAGTGAAAATATTTAAGCTAGGACCTGAGCTGGCGACTGCTACCATGAAGTGACCGCTCACACATACGGATAACTACTCTCTGCCGCAGTGAAAACTGAACTGCCTGAACTACTTTCTGGCCTCATTTAATTTGCCTATTTATGCAATCATGGATGTCTTTCTCTTTAAGAGCCATAAAATTTTAGCACAGGAAAGGACTTTACAGATCATTTGGTCCAATCACCTCACTTTCCAGATGGAAACAACTGGAGTCTGGAGAGGGTTATTAGCCAGCCCAGGGTCACCTCGTGAGTTTAATGCAGGCACAAGAGTAGACCCTAGGTCCCTATTTTCCCCTGCTGTGTTCTTTCTGGGAGACCACACAATGTCAGAAGCCACCCAGTGATCCAAAGCACCACTAGTTTCTTTCTTCTCCTGCCACAAGGATCATGCAAGTGTTTGAATGAGTTCTAGAAATAAGACACATTTACCATAAAATTCCAACAAATCCATACCAATGACAACCTCCAAGAGACAGTGAAGTTAGGTAAAAATGGCAAGATTCAGTAATCAGGGCTGAGCTTGTGTGAGGCTTACCTTGATATCCCTCTATCCTCCGCGGGGTGCACAGGGCTCAGTACTCCTGGATTGTCCTCAAACTGATCCCAGCCTTCTGGTCCTGCTTCTCACACAGCTAATACCTACTCTGTGCAGAAGTGGGTTTTCCCTAGTTAAAAAAGAATCCTGATTTTTCCTTTAGACCTTTATTCCAGGACCTTGTAAATTTACATGTGTATATTCAAATGAGAAATAAGACATTCACATAAAATAATATTTATTGTTGCATCTCTTTTTCAGAATTGAATTGAATATAGGTTTTTATTGTTGCTTGTTGTATTGTTTTGTTTCCTAGCTGTTTGTTTAATGGTCGCAGACACAGTCCAGGTATTTTTGTACAGAAAATCTTACTTCTTAAAATGTACTAGCTACAACTGTGTGGACCTGTGGACAAATCATGAAAGGACTGTGTTGGATAATCAGATATGCAGGGACTCTCTGACAATTAGTGAGTTAGTTTTCTATGACTCATAAAAGGATTCTTCCAAATTCAGTTACCTACTCAGAATGCTGAAGGGTCAGACAGAAAAACACAGAAAGATTCTCAAATTAGCTTGTTCACTATGCTATAGTGCCTATCATTTTCCCTATGTGCCTTAAAGAAAATGTGCCTCCTGTTACTTTTTATATCTTGATCATCTATATACATGTAGTAAAAGTAATGCACATCACAACTCCTTACCCACGCAGCTATGTCAGTTAGAGACCAAAGGTGCACCAAGGTGCCTACGAGATCTTTGGGGCTCCCTGACTCTCAGCTCTGCCATCCCTGGCCAGTGTCAATTCCTTGTAAACTCACTAATGGGACCATGACGGACTCTCAAGGGAAACAATAGCTCTGGCTCTCCATGAGCTCAATCTACCTTCAAAGTCTAAAGATTGCATTTGAAAAGTCTAAGTCATTGATATTATTTTTAGGTTCTACCTACCTCTTCCCCATGTGACAACTTTTTTCCATTTATCTCAGTCTGTGGCATAAGGAGAAAAGTTATTCACAGAGCCCTTTTCTCTAAAGTCAGGAGTAGAAGTTCAGTGGTATCAGACATTCTAGTTCTGATTTTCAATACATTTCACTGAGACGTTTGCTACCATTTTATGCAGGAAAAGTGTGGCGTCTTCTTCGTATTGGTCCAAAGTGAAGTAAGTTGACCACAGGTTGAGTTAGGAAAAAAGGACAAGCAAATGCCAGTACAACACTGTAGATGTCACCTAAAAATTATAAGTGCATTGGACTAATGTGGTCTTAATTACAAAGCTATAACTTTGTTTTTTTTTTTTCCTTAAGAGGTAACCTAAAGTTTAAATTTACATTGTGATTACAGCTTTTCTTTTATAAGTTGAAGCACATTATTTTGGTCCATTGAGCAAACTCATTCTTATTCACTGCCTTTTAAAGTTGACATTTAACTTCCACAGCTGTACAGTTGGCAGGAAGCAAAAAAATATTTAATATTCAAGAGAGCAGATTTCAAACCACCATTGCATTCTATTGTACAGAATGTTCCATCATTAGTTATATTAATGGATGGGAAGAATCACATATAGAGCTAATGAGGACAGTTGAAGGTGCTCATGTATTTACTTCCTTGCTAATACTCATTAATCAAATAATACAAACAAGCAATTCCAGCAGTTCAAACTAATAGGGCTGATTTTCTAAAAGGCCATGTCTTCTAATTGCATTTACCAAAATAGAATTAAGAACAATTTTTGCTTCTGCAGGCCTTGACTCCCCAAATCAAGCAAGACAGGAATTAGACACACCCCTTCCATTACAATTGGATGTTCAACATCAGAAACAATTAACTTATTCATTCAAGATATGACTATGGTGCACCTACTATAGGTCAGGCTTTCCATTAGATGCTGAGGATGGATCTGTGACAGTCTTACTCTTCAGAATGTAAAATTTAGTAGGAAAGGAAAGAATGTGAGCCAGTATTAACAAGCTGAATCCTGTTAAGATAAAAGCAGCACCACGCTATGGACACCCACAAGGAAAGGTTCAGGTAAGTCATGAGAATCAGGGTGACAATAAGAATGGAGAAGTCCTCTGGAAGAGGTGGAATATTAGGTGAGACTCCATGACTTCAGAGTTAAGACTCAACAAACACTTTGAATCTTGTTTCCTCAAATATTCCAGAACAACCACATGGAGTCTTTTCTTAAAATTAAAAACTCACAAGAACAGAGAACACAAAAGACAAGAGAAAGTTTTGGAGCTTAACAAAAAGATTGGCAAGTGGCCTCTGGGTTAGCAGAAAACTGAACCCAAGTCTGCAAAGGAGGATGGGGGGTTGCTATGGGAGATCAAGGTCAGAGCACCAGGGGGACCCCTGCTGCCCTCTGCTGGGCAAATGCCCCTCACCTTCTCCAGGAGGAGGCTGGAACTCATTCTCAAAAGGGCAAAGGAGAAAGTCTTTGGTTAATAACACAATTCTCTGACTCAAGACAGTGAAAGCTTAGTGTTGATGTCCCAGCACAACTGTCCTTCACTGAAAGACCACAAGAACTGAGGTAGGATAGAAATAAAGATAGGCAGAAAGAAGACAAGCAAAGAGCATGATTTTAAAATTATACTTTTAAGATTCTGTAGCTTCAAGAAACACTCAAAGCTACCCAAGGCTGTAATACCATTTTATTTCTTTTCCAGAGAAACTTATCTCCAAAATCCCTGAGTCTTAAAAGAGACAATAAGCCTATACAATGAGCCGTTCCTTGCCTTACCCCTATACATTGTCTCAATTTCTATAGATTCAAATGGTCCACAGATTTTCACACACCCAAATATGTAAATATCCCCAAGCCCAGGCCGTAATGCCACTCACCCTTTGAGCACCTGCACTCTTCTGAGTGTGTACTTCTTTGACTGTGCTAGTAAATATGCATATGGCTTTTACTGATGAGTCCTGCAGTTCTTTTCCACGATGGGTCAAGAAAGTACTCTGTGTGTAGAGGCAAGCTGAGGTCTCTATCTCCTCTTTGGGAAGATTCCCTCAGTCCCGAGCTCATAACAGCACCAGCCTTTTTCTCTTCAGATGGGAGACTCAGGGTGTCACTGTGGGAGTCTGATTCATCACAGAGAAAAGACTGCAATTCTGACCTTTGAACTGCTTTGAAAAATGCCCCATCTAGATTCCTCCAGTGAAGCTCCCAGCCAACAAGCCTCACTCACAGGCTCCAAACTCCATCTCCTCTCAACCATAAACAGGAAAGTGAGCGTTGATCACCAGCCACCAGAGGAAAATGCCTCTAATGTGGAAGAGAGATGACATACAAATGAGAAACAAAGACAAAGCATCTTGGAGTAACAGACTATGCATGAGGAAGAAATTTTTAAAAATAAACTATGTTTAATACATCCAGATGGGTAAGAGAAGATATTATGGTCATAAAACCTAACAAGAAACAAATAACAACAGAATAATTTGGAAACAAACAGTATATTCAGAAGACAATTCAATAGTAGGGTTGAAGTAACAGAAAAGAAAGGACACATTAAAGGAGAGTGAGAAGAAAATTAGATGACCAGGCCAGGTGACCAAACTTCCAAATAAATGATTTTCAAAAGAGATAACAGAATAAACAAGATAAGCCAAGGTGAGATAAGTTAAATAAATCAAGAAAAGACACTTGAGTTTATAGCCTGAAAGAGTTCACCAAAAGTACAGTAAAGCAATTACTAAGTAGGCATCAACTACCATTCCAAATGTTTTATGTGTATTAAAGTACTTAATCTTCCCAATAATCCTGTAATGTGTAACCCAAAACTTATACCACGCTTATACGTATATTTCCACACCACTTATCTATCCCTCATGAAAGTTCCTTAGAAAGATTGGTGTATAAAAAATTTTTTGTAGTAACAATTTATACTGTCCCCCAAAATAAATATAATACTTTTATTAGTAAAACTGTTAATCTCTTGCTGTTTGGTCAATTTTCATTTTTCACGGTAATGTTTGGTAAAGTGGACAGAAACGCTTTTTTTGTGTCCTAGTTTTTTGGACACAAAAGAAACACTTTTTTGTGTCCTACCAAACCCTGGTAATAACATATCACTAAGGGAATCAATATATAAACTTATGCTAAGTATATGTCCATTTAAAGACATTTTATTTAGACTATTTTTTTATTCACTAACATTGAACTCACTGCTAATTATACCTCTTTCCTGAATGGAATTTATCTAACAGAGGTATTTTCTTTAAAGAGCACAGCACAGCACTAGGCTTGGGGGACACTTTAGCAATTACTGAAAAGCATGAAAGTTAGAAAAACACGGCACTAAAGAGACTGTGAAAAAGACAGTTGTTTATAGTACAAGAGCTGAAATGAGAAGCAGATCAGCTTCTTTTTTGATCCCAGCTAAAAGTTTGCAGATCAAGTGATTTAACATTTTTGGCTAGGTCTTCAAATAGCACATCAGCAGAGATACTCATTCAGAAGTTACAAATGAATTTTAGAGCATAGGACAATTCATAAGCATAGAATATACAATTAGTGTGGATTGACTGTTTTAGTGTTACTATTATTATTAATCCTATAGCTCCTGATGGACAGAAATCTCTCCTTAAAGGAAAGCACAAGGCATCATATAAAGTGTATGCTTTCAACCTTTCCAACAAACCTCCTGAATCAATAAACATTTTGTGCAATCTGCAGCAATTTAAGAACTACTTACATTTTGTCCCGATCTGGTGGATGTCTGGTAAAGACCGCCCCAAAGCCCGTGGCGGGTAATCCAGTGTCCCTATAGACGTGACAACAATTTTTAGAAAACATGTCAGACTGCCATATATAAACTTTCAAAGTCATACAAACCTACTTTGGAGCTGAATTTTGTGACTGTTTCTAAGAGTTTTTATGCTTGTAACATTTATACACTTTGTGGAATAAAATGTACCAACAAGTAAAATGGATTTTTAGCACTCTCTTACTTTTACTTCATTTCCCAGCAACGACAACATCAGACAAAGTGTATGTCATGCACTTCTATGCAGACGCACTGTGCCAGGGCACAGGACTATACCTCTTAGTCAGATGTGACTAAGAGACAGTCTTTACCCTCAAGGAACTCTCTGGGGAAAAATATTCACATAGACAACTGAATTCAAGTCAGACTGTTAGGGGCCGAGGATATGGCCCAGTGGCATGAGCCTCTGCCTGGCAAGTGAAAGGTCCTGAGTTTGATTCTGGGTACAAAAAACAAAGAAACAAGTCCAACTGTTAAGTAGGACATAAAATACACAGACAGCAAGCATACCAGAGGATTTGATTCTGATTAATGACAATTTGCCTAATCCTTACTGTATTTCAGGCAAGACCTCTAGGGACATTTCATATTTTCTTTCATTTAAACTTCACACCAACCCTAGGAAATGAACACTTTTGCAAGTAAGTTGATGAAGTGAGGTTCAAACCTAGATAGTGAGAACCCTAGGCCAGAATAATGTATAAAGGAGAAGTAAGATTTCTAGAAGGATCCAGAATAAGTGAAGTGTTCTCTGGTGAGCAATTGAGGGAAAAGGAATTCCAAACAGAGGGAGCAGCTTTAGCATAGAGCGTGAACACTGGAGACAAAAGCACTCGATGTGCAGTTGGGGTCTCTTATCCCTCTTCCTACTGATGAAGCCCTTTCCACATGTGCATATTCTGTAAGTGAGAGAAGAGTCTAACACCTTTCAATAATCCCAGAGCACAGTGTGTCCTCATTTAATAAGGCCTTGCTCTTTATTTCAGCAAATTCTCTTTTTAAAAAAACTCGTGACATCTGTTCATGTGTTTCTGATATCCAAATCTGAAAAAAATAGAAAGCACATATAAGAAAAATTAATCACCCAAATGGTTAGTTAGTAAAATATACTCCCAGTGAAGTAGGTTCTGCATTTGATTGTTGACTCCAGTTGACATTTAAAAATAACTGATATCTCTGGATCACAAGCCTGATCTCAGCATAGGCAACTCAATGACTTAGGGAGAGACCCTGTCTCAAAATAAGAAAAAAATTAAAAAGGGCTGGATGTAGAGCCCAGTCCAAAAGCCCTGGGTTCAATCTTCTGTACTGAAAAAAAAAAATTTATCCCATCACCATCAACTATTTCAACATAAATATCTAAAAATAGCAATTCTTTACTGTATTGTTGCTGGAAAATAAAAATCAAATTAATTATCTCTATAAAACAGAAAAATGCTTCATTTCATCAACTAAATACTCTACATACTTTTTATCACTATCTTTATTCTTCTCAGGATTGGGTTATTTTTACTTCTCTAAGTAAGAAAACATTTGTAGCACTCACTTTGTAAATTAAAAAAGATTTTATTATTATCATCATCATTTTATTCATTCTCTATTATAAGAATAATTCAGTGAATTGGTAAGCAATTATTACCATGAGAGATAATCTGAGAATTGTGAGATATGTTCAAACCAATGACAGAAACATTGTGGTGGATTGACAACTGGTGGTCAACTTGTAACACCCAGGTGAATTGAACCAGCGTAGTGCTGGGTGTGGGAGGCCCACCTGAGGATTATTGCCAGCAGCATGAGGTAGAACTGTAGAAGAAGAACGGAGGCTGTTGGGACCTAGTAGAAGCTGTTGGGAAGCTGTTAGGGAGCTGCTGCTTCTCTTGGGCTATTCTACTGGAGGACCTTGTCATGCTGGCTTTCCTGATGAACTTGGCTGTTCTTTTCAGAGGAGGAGGAGCTCAAGAACTTGTAGTCACTGAGAATGGCTACGGTTCACTTTGGGGGACCCCTGGCCCTCACTTTGAGCATCACTTCCTGGCTCCAGAGGGGAAGATGGTGCACTGCTCAGTCTCCTGGAGAAACTTGATGTGTTGGCTTTCCTGATGGGAACTTGGCTCTTAACATCATCAGTGGAGCTCAGGACTTCATTGTTCTAAGGATGGCTATGGTACTTTTTGAGGGAGCTCTGGTTCTTACTTTGAGTGTTGCTTCCTGGCTCCAGCGCAGATCCCTCGGCCTGCTAGCACAGATCCTTCATCCCAGTGGCACATACTTTCTAGCTTCCTCTGACCTTTGGGCCTTCCCAGCACAGATCCATGTAACAGGCCTGCATGAGACATTGTCCTGGATTCTAGGCCTCCAGCTGGACTGATGGGAGGCATTGTTATGGGCTCTAGGTCTTCAGAGGACTCATGAAGGATATTACTGTGATATCCAGGCCCTCAGCTAGATTCTTTGGTTGTAGTGCGTGGACAGATTTCCTGCACTCTCTTTGTATATGACTCTTTGGATGACTATTATAAATAATCTTATGAAATATGTGTCCTGTATTATATTGCTCCCCTTGCAAAACCTCAAACTATAACAAACATCACAGGTAAACAAAAATGTATTCAACATTTCCACCTTAAAAATAAATCTAGGCAATCATGAATCTGGTGATTTAGAGCAGAGAACCACGACTCACCACCAAGAAAGCTCATCATTTTCCCTGAAACTGAAGACTAGATTCCCCTAAGATAACCACTGAAGCCTCAGAACAACTTAATCCCACTGGATTAAAACAAACAAAGAAGAAGAATGACCACTCTTTACAGACCTGGAGACTTCAACTGCAAGAGCATCATAGCTATAGAAAAAGACCTTTGGCTCATTTTGAATTAGTAAAAAGGCTCAACGATAACCGTGATCCTACTTTCCTTAAAAGGAGCTCAATATAGTCTCTGGTCTTGGTCCCCTGGCTTATACCACAGCTCTCTAGATTTTTGGTTTCTCTGACCACGGATTGCTAAGATTTCAACCTCCTAAGTCACCAGCCTCCTATCCAAATTCCGAGCTTTGCTCCACGTCGCATTCGCTCAATTACTCTTCTTTTTAGGTTTCCCAGCTCACAACTCCATGGTAGAGAACAACAGTGAGTCTCATACTTTAACAACAAAGAAAAAGGTATATTTTTAGGAAAATTAGAACCCCTATTTTGTTTAAAGCTATAAGATTTTAAAGATTAACCTTGGATATGTTTTGATCTTTTCAGCAGTAGAACACTAAAGCCACCAGCCCTCTAAAAATTATATGATGCAAAGATATGGCCAAATATGAAATAATGAGAAATAAAAGACACAGATAATAATAGCATTTGTGGACCTTAAGCTGATTGAGTAGTTATTCTGTGCTAGACCCTGTATTAAGTGCTTTGTGTGCATTATTTCATATGAATGTTGTGCATCAATCATGATCTCAGAAGGAAAAACAATCCAATGGGCAACTTAGGGGAATTTAATAATCTGTTTATAAAAATATGGCAAGCATTACCAAAATCAACAATGCTAAAATACCTTGATGATAGCATTAGTGAAGAGCCTTAGGTGAGAGCAGTTGATGGAGTCCAGAAAAACCTAGAACCATAGAGCATCACCTGACAGCTGTGGCTTTTAGAACAAAGTTACACTTCTGTCACCAAACTTTGACCTAACAAAGAGGAAGCCACAAGAATAAATGGCCACACTCACTTTCCTCCCACCCCTGATCACCTGCCAGTCCCTGCCTTGGGCCAAACCCAGTGGGGCAACAGGGGGCAAGGAAGCTTATGGATGCAATCCAGCACTTGGCTGAGAAGGGTAGAAAGTAGATCTGGAAAGGCAAAGGAAAAATACACAACATAATTTATTTCCATTTTAGGGGTGGGGAAACTGAAGCTGAAAGGGATTAGTGCACAGGTGAACCAGCCAGAAAGCAGATCTGTTATTTAAAACACAATCAATCTGGTTCATCCATTTATCTATCCATCGATATCTACAAAGCACCAGACATCATGCTAGGTTGTAAGGCGCTGCACTTTGCATATGGCTTAATTGTACCCCCCTGCAAAAGTTCATATTGTTGGAAGATTCGTTTCCAGGATGGTGGTACTGGGAGGTGCTATGGAGCCTATAAAGTGTGGGGTTTAGAGAGAGGTCCTTAGGTCACTAGGAGTGTGAGGTAGTTCTCTTGCAACATCTCGGCAGATCTTGAGAGAACATTGGCTTACAAGGATCAAGCCTGGACCCACCCAGTTCTCTGTGCTTCCAGCCTCACCCTCTAGTTATCCCCCCACATGCTGTGGCACTGTCTTCCATGGGGCCCTCACCACTGCCTGTGCTATTCTGTGTGAACTTTCAGCCTCCAAAACTGTGATCTAATAAACGATTTTTTAAAAAATTAAGTGTCTCTAGTATTTTGTTGTAGTGATGAAAACCTGATAAATAATTAGAGCTGGAGTAGTGAAAAACCTCAAAGGCTGTATATACTGGCTGTGGCTCGGTGAATTATAATACATTGTAGGGATAATGGTAACAACAGTAGCATTGTCCAGACGCAGTTCTAAGAGTCTTCACACTAAGTGCTCATTACAGCTCTGCTATTCTCACTTCACACATGAGGGAATAAAAGAGAAGGAAAGTTTTATGACTCTAGCAAAGCCACAACCTAGTAAGTAGTGGAGCCAAGAGTCCAAGAGAAGCTGTCCCTCATAATGTGTGTTTCCAGTATCACACTCAAGTGTTATTCCCCAACGTTAGGCCTTCTTTCCTCATCAGTAATGGAATCCCATTTTAGCTAACCACAGAAAGTTGCAGACTGTGCTTTCCAGCCTCCCTGATACTTAGATATGATGTGACTGGACTGGATGATGGAGCATGAGTAGTAGTACTTACAGGCTCTGAATAATCCTTTCTTTTCTTTTCCTTTTCCTGCTGCATAAATGTGAGCAGAATGACTGGATTCCAGGAGCCATCTTGAATGCTATCCAAGGAATGTCAGAGCAGAAAGATGGAAGAAGTAGGTCTCTTGTGACAATCTGTGGAATTTCTGTGCCAGCCCTGGCCCACTATCCTCCAGACTTTCTACATGGAAGAATAAAATCTTATGTGAACAGCCTCTGTTGATTTCTGGTTTCTCGTGCATGTAGACAAACCCAATCCACATTTTAATGTAAAAAATCATGTTGGTGTTAAAATGTTCATAACCTGACATAAGCATGGGTAATTCATAAGAGTACTTCCATATGTTTAAAAGTCTTTTGGGTTTCATATATATTATAAACTGAAGATTTGCAATGTGGTGCATGCAAAAGCCAAATTGACAGTACAAACTTGAAGAATAGTCATTAAAATTTCCATTTAATTTGCATAATAAAATCTATCTTGAGTCAAAGAATAATAAAAAATATCAAAGAATAATAGAATAGTCAAGTAATAGAATAGTCAAAGAATAATAAAAAATGTATTCAGGAAGCTCATTTCATAATATTATTCTTAATTTCTTTTTTCTTGAGTACCAAATTTTTTAAGTTCCAATTTCCAAACTTCCAGAATAAATGCCCCTGATGTATTTTTAAGGAATCCTAGTAAACATATAACTTGGATAATGGATACAGAGAATGAGGAGGTCACTGATAATTTCCTCTGAAGTTACATGTTTAGAGGGTAACCAGCGTCTTTTCACAGAGTATGACTTATCCCCTAGCAGAATCTTGGTAAGATTCATTTTAGATGATCCTCAACCGACAAGTCTTCCTCGGGTTTCTGATAAGACCTCCAGGAAGCATCTTCCTCTGACCTATTTTGAAGGAAGTACAGGTATTTCCCAGGTCAAGTTTTCCCTGTGATGCCATAGGCTACTTCTGGACCCCTCTGGCTTGTTATCTTTAATGTGAATGAGATCATAGATTGATGATGGCAAACCCTTTAGAGCTTTCCGTGATACAAACAGCGCATTGCAGCACATACACCATAGGTTTGCCACCACTGCCCTAGATCAGCCTCCAGGACATACTTCAAGTTTCCTAG